TTTGTGCCCTGCCTCCTTACGAGTGGGTCAAATGTGCCCATTAGTTGATTACATGATATGCTTTTGCTTATCCTGTTATCCAGCTGGAGCCCTTTTTAACCGTGTTTGTACAATGATAATATATGTTGTATTTCTGCAGCACAGAAAAGCCATGTAAGCAAGTGTCAGATCTCCAACTGCTGGGTTACAGGAGCAGAGTAAATAAAGTCAGGCCTCATGACAAAGAGGTGTTTCTCAACATCCTAATTTAACAAAAGCACTGCTGATTGACACAAGCTAACAAGTCTGCGAGAGCTTTACATTCACCCAGCAGACTAGAAAAGTGGCGTTTTAGCATTTTTCACTGTGCTAATTTGCTGCAGTAGTTGCATCATTTTTTTTGCAGGTGTCACTTTGTGGCATTGCTGCTAGAAATGTTTTATTGTGTGCAGAGAACGCAAGTGCTTTTTTTTTTTTTTTTTTTTTTTTTTTTTTTTTTACTTGAAAAGTGGACCTTCACACAACAAAAACACTTTGCACCATTGCAACCCTCCACAATCTAAAAAGCCAAGTTTTTTTTTTTTTTTTTTTTTTTTGTCTTTCTTTCTCTTTTTTTTTTTTTCCTGCAAGCGAGTCTTGTAAAGGAAGCATTGCTAAGCTCTATGCAGAGCAGCTTGGGTGGCTTACACAGATTAAACAGAAAGTCTTTCGTGTTTTCCAATAGTGTTACAAAATGTCCGTAGAGTCATACACTACTAAGTGGGCATTTATTTCATTTATTTTTTTCTTTAGATTCATGTACGGCCCTTCCTTAAATCCGATTAAAACTTCAGTTGCATAAATACAAAGTTTCCAAAAATATCTACATGTTACCAGGTGCTCGGCTTCTCCCATTCAAAAACTGACTCATGTAATTACTAAATAAAACCTTTTCATGTTTAGTAATGTGGCTACAAGGAGCAGGAGAATAAGAAGCTTGTTCCTGCTGTTTTAAGTTAACATTTTATTAGCTGTGTAGGTGAGGGTGTTTAAAGGGAAAATGGTGCATCTTCCATAAGTAAACCATTTTCAATGCCTTATTTTTGTATGTTCTACATATAGAGATTTATAAAAGTCTAGCGGTAAACTGCTGGTGACATAAGATAACTGGGCAGATGTGTGAACGTTTGGAAATGATCACCCCTGTATATATCCTAGTGGGGCAGAGTTTGATAGAAAGTGCCAGTGCTTAACCCCTTCATGACTGAGGCCTTTTCATTTTTTTTTGCACCCATGTTATATTCCACATTTTAGGCCTGAAAATTACTTAAAACACCAAACATTATATATTTTCTGAAAGCCAAGAACCTATAGAATAAAATGGTGGCAGTTGCAAATTTTTATGTTGCTCGATATTAGCGCAACTCCTTATCAAACCCCAAAATTTAGTGAAAAATATACTTAAAGGACCCAAAACACTATAAAATATCATTTTTCTCAAAATAAAATATAAAAGATGAGGTTACATTGAGTAAATAGATACCTAACATGCCCAGGTTAAAAATTGTGTGCGTCCGCGAGTACCCCAAAAAGTCCATGGACGACGCTTTAAAAGCCCCCACAGGTCATCAATTTAGAGATGCCCTAGAATTATTGCTCTCCGGCATGCGCAGCGATGCCCAACATGTATAGCGCGATTGTCGTTTTCATACATAGGCGCACCCGACGCGTGTTTACGTGGCAACTCGCGGTGGCGGGAGACTTGAAAATTTTTTACAAGTATTTTTAGATTTATTTTATTTCATTTTCATTTTAAAAACTTTTTTTTTTTTTACTTTGATTGCTATCACATGGGGGGCTTACAAGCCCCCCATGTGATAGCAGATGGTGGTGACAGGTACTCTTTAAGGTGATGCTGGGGGTCCAAAAGACGCGACCAAATAAGCGATTGAAGTGCAGATCGCACTTCAATCGCTTACAGCTGGGCTTCGGGAGTCTAGCACAACAGCTATGGGACCGGAAGTGATGCAATCTACATCGCTTCCAGTCCCATAGAACGGGGATGGGATCGACGAACGGAGGATCGTCCATCTCCTCCCCAGCTCCCCACCGACACTAGAGAAGTTGGTCCCGGGCCCGTATGAGGGGCAACAGAGCCCGGGAAGCACAGCTTGGGCGGGGGACCCTTCACCGGGCTGTAGAAGCGATCTTGCGACAGCTGAGTCGCCAGAATCGCTTCTTAGTCTATATAACATGTCCTTTATTTCGAAGGTGGCAGGGGTGAAAAGACCTGCCTATAAAAAGCATTCCATATGTATGGCTCCAAACCTTTGCTTTATCTTCAAATACATCTATACATTTCTTAACTTATCTTGCACATTTTCTATTGCTGGTTTAGTTATTTCTACATTACTTAAAGGAGAACTATGGGGTTAGGGCTTTTCCCCATTGTATCCTCCTGTCACCCTTAGGAGAACTAACTAGCGTCCTCCCGTCACCCAAAGCTACAGCTCGCGGTATACTGAGATGCCGGAACGGATCCCGACAATTCTGTCTAGATCCACCCAGCTGCGTGAGTGACAGCTGGCTCTGCCTATCTAGAGTAAGAGCCAGCTGTACCAGCCCCTCCCTAGTCCGTTCCGCCAGTCAGCGCTGGAGGGTCGGACAGGGGAATCCCTGTAGGGAGCCATGCGTGACAGTCACGGCTCTCTGCAGGGACATGATCAAGAAGTGAGCGAGCGCCGGTATGTGTTCGCTCACTTCCCGATCTACTGAGCCGACCTGTGACAGTTTCATTGTCACAGGTCGGCTCAGATTATGAGGCTGAGTGAAAATAACTCGCCTCATAATTGTCCTTTTAAAGTGTATGTAACCTTCCTTCCTTTTTGAGTAGGAAATGGGTAAAACTCTTATCGGGTAATTTTTTTTGCTGCTTGTCTTGTCCATTGATTTTTTTTCCTTCAATACCTGTCCGGGAGGTACAATAGGAAATTAGAATTTTCATGTTTGAGAGGGGTTATAGGAAAAGATGTCCCTATTGGGGGATTTGCCCTATTGGAGGATTTGATCTCATTTCTTGCTCTAGTGGCAGGTTTCACATCACTTTGTGTCTCAGTGATAATGGTCACTAGGACAATTGGAGGGGCGAATCTCCCAAACATCGACATAGACTGCATTTAAAACTTTACCTGACCTTTCCTCTTTCTAATACTAAAAAAATTGCCTTTACCTACACTTTAAACATAACCATAGAATTCACCATGTGGCCATGTAAAAGCATTTTAATAACATAGTCTCTATTGGCACAGTATAGACTTCGTATTAGGGTGCTTATATTCCATGCCACAGACTATATGTCAAAGTTGGGAATGGAGTCTTTTAAATGGTCAGTACTTGAACCACTTTGGGTTTTCATTGTTTACTTCCTGAGCAAATGCCTAGGTGCCTGACTGTCCTATTGACCCTCTGGCTTTAATACTTTTAGGGCACCTTCATTACTATGCTTTTTCATGCATGTCAAAGAATACAACGGTTAGGCCTTGTTCACATCATATGCAGACCAGATCCGGTCAGGTTTCTGCACACGCGCGATGCGTTTTTTTTTGCATGAAAAGCAGCTGCAGGTGTCAGTGAGCAAACAGGCAGTTTGATAAGGAGGAGTGGTAGGGGGAAGGGGGGTGGATGGAATACTGCATTTGAGGAACTACTAGTATACAATGCCATTCACATTGAAGTACTCACCACAGTTCTCCTTATCTGTCAAGGACATATCCTTATATACTGGGAAAATTCTCCCTGCTATCAAACTCCACTGTTCAGCCTTCTTTCTATTGTTCTTATATTGAAAGTGTCTGCTGTCATATAGCTCAGGGCACTGTTGAACCATACTTATGAATCTCTCTGGGTCACAAAACTGGTCCACCATTTTTCCTTTGCTCTCCAGCTCACAAGGTCACCTTTTCCAAAGACAGGAAGTGACAAAGGAAGATTAGGTCATGACAGATGACCATAGAGGTTTTTTTTCTTTATGGTTATTTTTTCCCATTGAATTGCATTGGGTTGCATTGCGTTGCGTTTTTGATGCGTTCCAGAGCAGGTAAAATAGGGCTTGCCGCAGTTTTTTCACCTGCTCTGGATCTGGTCTGGATCCGCACGCTGCGATGTGAACTGGAGGTCAAAATACCATTGGAATACATTGGACGCAGTTTTGATCCGGTCTGCACCTGCTCTGGTCTGGATCTGCTCCGCGCTTGGTGTGAACAAGGCCTTAGTTATTGTTTTACATGGTGCTAGTTTAAATCTGACACTGGCAGCACATGAAAATGTATGATTGTTAATAACACAATCCAGCTCATTGTCCCGAACTCAGGACAAGGCTGCAGATCTGGAACACCTGAGTACCGTCCTTAGCCCTCATTTGCCTACTTATTTGGTGTCGTCGATGCAAGAATATTAGCATAACAGCTAGGCGATTAGCATTATTGGGAAGGTATTAGCATTTTTTCTTTTGATTCCTTCTGTTATGTCAGGATCCACCTACCATTGGGCAGTATCGAACATATAATACTATTTTGTGTGACGTTTGAGAAGAGAATAACTTCTCCTTTCAATAGTCACCTAAAATATAATGCAAGATTAGGATGTTTCACCAGTACTCTTTTATGTGGTGTCCCGTTCCACCCACCCTAAAGGAAAGAGGCATTCACCACTGATTAGATCTGATAGGACTGATCTTGCTTTTTGTTGTAAATGACCGTCCATAAGCAGATTATTTTATTTCACCTTATTGTTCAATATAGAATATTGGCCTTCACCACTTCCATATGTGATTTGGTCTCTCTAAAGGCACCTTACAAGTCTTTAGAATCTTTTGTATTGTGTGAAAATACTGTTGTCTTTTAGCTGTAAAATGAAATGGTCTTCATGAACATCTATGCCAATGTTTTGCATCTGATTCTTGTTTTCTCGTGTTATAGATACACTTTTGCTGAGTATATTCCGTCTCTTTTTACACCAATATATTCTTTGGACATCTTTTATAGGCATCCACCACATCCTGAGCTGACAAAAACTTCCCCTGAGCTATGAACTGGAACTTCTTCATTGTCTTTGTTGTTTTTCTGGGTTAATGTGAAGTTTGAAGAAAGTCCATCAACCTCAAGTAGTGGAATTTTTACATTTTCTGTTGGAGAAATTGTCAATCCTTGTATTGTGTATTTTTTATACCAAAGGGTGGACAATTCACAGTACTACTAGAGTAGTTTTCTTCTGTGGTATCAATTTGAGTCAACTAAGCAAAAACAGAGGCTGTTTTTGTGTTGTAACCCTGTAAGCCGGGCTGCTTACAACTGTCTGACCTGGTTGTATGTTTACTTTTACATCTTGGTTCAAAAGGTTTGTTGACCTTGTCACCAAACACAGATGTACAGGGTATAAAATTCAAACGGCTGAGATCACACAAACTAGGTTAATGGATGAGGGGGAAAGAGCCTAGCGCAGACAACGCGCCTGCCTTATTGAAAATGAAATATTGCTTTTTAGAGACAGATAGATATAATCACCACTGGGGTTTTTATTTTTTACTATATAATGAAAAAAGTACCGTAATTTGAAAAAAAAAAGTTTTCCCTACCTTTTATATATTAAACATTTATTCTTACCCATATTTTTGGCAAAATATAAAAGATGGGGTCATGTTGGATAAATAGACACCAAACATGTCAAGCCTTCAAATTGCGCGCACCCAGAAAATCGCAAAAAACTATCACATTGAAAATTGGCCACAGGCGACGCTTTAAACTCTTTTACTGCTCATCAGTTTAGTGTTATCAGTAATTAATAGCCCTAAAATTATTGCTCTCACTGCGTTTGTGGTGATATGTAAAAAATGCGGGAACCATACGTGCAATCGTCGTTTTCACACGTAGGCGCACCTGGCACATGTTTGTATGTGGGGTTTGGGGAACTTTAATTTTTTTTTTTTTTTTTTTACTCCATATTATTATTTTATTTTATTTTTTTTACTCTGTCGGGGGTTCCCTCTTCCTGTTCTGGTGGCAATTCAAAATTTTGCATTTCAGAATGACAAACAGGTGGGAAATTTCCCTAGTGGGAAAACTAAAATTTCCCAGCACACTTACCAGCTAGCCTGCAACAAACAAAACTGATTTCACTGTCAGAAGTTGTAACCCTTTCCCACTTTTTGCAAATCAAAAAAAAAACGTTTTGCCTTATAATACACTTTTAGGGCACATTCGCACCATAAGGTGGTGAGCTGCAAGAGCACAACATTTTTATCCGGATGACCACCGGGGGACTACTGCTACAAAATGTTTTTGACAACTTCTGAAGATAAAATTTGGATGTAGTTCATAATGTGACTTCTGTTGTGTGCTTTGGACGTTTTGTTAACCTGTAATATAATGCAATTTTGCTTTGAAACTAAAGTGTGAATACAAGAGGCACTTTTTATTATCTTCTTAAAGGAGAACTATGGGGTTAGGGCTTTTCCCCATAGTTCTCCTTAGGGTAACGGGAGGATACAAACTAGCGTCCTCCCGTCACCCTAAGCTCAGTATACCGTGAGCTACAGCTCGCGGTATACTGAGACGCCGCAATATACCGAGAGCTACAGCTCGCGGTATACTGAGACGCCTCAGCTGAAGCGGATCCTGACATTTATGTCTGGATCCGCCCAGCTGCGTGAGTGACAGCTGGCTCTGCCTATCTAGAGGCAGACCCAGGCTTATCCGCCCCCCCCCCCGTCCGTTCCGTCAGTCAGCGCTGGAGGATCGGGGCGGGGAGGGGGGAATCCAGCCCCTCCCCTTCACGGCAGAGAGCTGTGACAGGATCGAGAAGTGAGCGAACGCCGGTATGTGTTCACTCACCTCCCTATCTACTGAGCCGACCTGTGACAGTTTCATTGTCACAGGTCGGCTAGAACTATGAGGTGAGTGATGAGCACTCACCTCATAGTTCTCCTTTAATTGTAAACTGAACAGGAAGGGGATATAATAGGAATGGCACACCTTATGCCTTGCATTTAGTTTCACTTGGTGCTAGGAATTATTTTTATTTACATATAATTCACACACTATACTGTATATATTTAATTTTGTTTGATCTGTTACATGTTTAAGTCTGTATGCAATTACATGAGGTTTCTAACACAGTATAAGCTTCCCTTCATAAAATACATTAATAAGTCGACACTCCCAAGGATTATGCTATCTGTAGCATAGCAAGGGGTGTATTAAAATGTTCTGTCCTTTCAAGTTCTTATCGTTTACATTTCATATTTCACGTCAACATTTAAAAAAAACCTTTTGTAATGCATTTGCACATGTGTTTTTCGTGCATATTTAATGCCTCAGTGTCTTTAGCCAGTGAAAAGTACAAAATTGCACACAAAATGTGTTTGTGTGTGATACATTTTATATATATACAGGTGAAACTCGAATAATTAGAATATCGTGCAAAAGTTATTGCAGTAAGTGCTGCAAAAGGGGCCCAAACCAAGTACTGAGTACATATGCATGCTTGTACTTTTCAGAGGTCCGATATTGTTCTATGTACAATCCTTGTTTTATTGATTGCATGTAATATTCTACTTTTTTTGAGGTTGTGGATTTGGGGTTTTTATGAGCTGTAAGCCATAATCATCACAATTATGACAAATCACGGCTTGAATGATCTTGCTTTGCATGTAATGAGTCTATCTCATATATTAGTTTCACCTTTTAAGTTGCATTAGTGAAAAAAAATGAACTTTGCACGATATTCTAATTATTCGAGTTTCACCTGTATATAAAACGCACAATTTTCTTTCTCAATTGTGTTGGCTGAATTATTATTTTTAACCTCTTGGGTTGGGTTTCATCTGGTGATTTGGCCAGTAAGAAAATTCCTGTCTTAGGGTACCAACACACCTTGCGATAATCGCGGGAAATCCCGCGATCGTACGATTATCGTAAGGTGTATGGAAGCTGTGCGACCTCTACTACTGTAAGGTCGCACAACTTTTATCTTACCAACATGTTCGAAAACCCGCAGAGAATCATACGATTTTCGGCGGATGTGTAGCATGTTCGTAAGATAAAAGACGGACGGGCCTGTGTGCGCAAGCGCACATTGCCCGTTCGGCATTGCGGTCATCGGAAGTACGATCTGCCTGTCCAAGATAGGCAGATCATACGTTTTTAAAATTACCTTACAACCATTGCAAGACAAAAGTCTTGCGATGGTTGTAAGGTGTGTGCCCAGCATTAGGGTGTCTCCGCTCTATGGAGGAGTAATGGAGCCACACTTGGACAGCAGCATTGACAACCTGTGAAGAGGGTAGTGTGAAGCTGCCCACACACCTTACAATTTATCTGCAGATGTTCTGTGGTCAGATGGAAAAAGTGCAACAGATTGGCCCAGGTGGAGATTACTCCATCCACACACTTAAGTGTAGATGGAGGAATCTGTTGCACCTTTTCCATCTGACCACAGAAAATCTGCAGATAAATTGTAAGGTGTGTGGGCAGCTTAGATGTACTAGCAGATTTTGACCAACAAATTAACACTTTTTAAGCAGTTGTAGTAAAAATCAAAGTTTTACAAATTTGATTCTGCAAGAAACAGGAAATGTTATTGTATGTGTGCAATCTATATGCTGGTGCGTACAATGTTTACATGATACAGCAAGGAACTTGTTGGGATCCATACATATAGTTTCATAGAAATGTTTTAATTTGTAAAGCAGTCTCCTGAAGTCTGTCAGGAAAACTTGCAGTTTCTCAGTTTGGTGTGGATTTGTTTTAATTGTAACTCTTTAGAAGACAAATTCATGTTTGGAGGGAATGTGGTTGATTAGTCTACATAAAGCAGACACAAAATGGTGTCCAGAAATGCATTGTTGGTCTTTGTCCTACTGCATTTCCATACACTCCTGGTCACACCATTAATGGAAATGTTTCATTCCCATGATGTGTCTTAAATACTGTTGCTGAGTGTTCTCAGTGCTCGAAAGTAAAGGTCCACATGAGCATGATTAGGCGTTTCACTGAAGGAGAAACCATCAGCTTTGATTTGGTCACAAAGAGGAAAAACATCACCCTTGTTTCAAGTATGTCTGTTACTGATCTAGGAAATTGACCTCTTACTATTCACCGTTCTGCTTTTTGTTTATTGTCTGCAAAAAGGATTTTTCCTCTAAGGATTTCCTGACTAATCTTAAGATACTGGAACAATCAAAGGATAATTTCTGTTTTCACAGATGACCAGTAGGACTGACGTTAAATCTGTTGTTAAAATAGCCACTGAAATTCTATTTCCATTGTGACATATTCTTTTGGGTACCTGATTTATCTGCCATGACTTAAGCAGCTAACAAAGGGAGAAGGCTTTAAATTCCATGAAATTTGTATGTATCAATCAATTTAAAAGCCCCATCATAGTTTTCATTCAGTAGGGCTAAATGGCTACCCATGGGCATGGTGATTTCCCCTGAGAAATGCAGCGAGTACTGAACATGCATTTGATGAATGTGAAGAAATAGGCAGCATTTTTAATAGATGAAATGTCTTTATTGTACAGTTCTACAAATGTTGGCAGACATTTCGTTCTAGTAAAACCACTTTTAAATTGTATTGTAATATAAATCTGCTTTCTAGGTATCTCCGGCAGTGTATTGAACCTCCTGCGGAAGCATCTCATCAATAATAATCGTTTCGTACATTAAAATGCTGTCAGATTTGACACACTTTATGTGAGTCCTGTTGTGGCCCCAGTTTAGAATTTCAAAGTCTTGCAAATAATCATTTTTATCTACATTTTGGTACTGGAAACTTCTGTTGGTATGCAATAAAATAAACTTGTGCTAAGAACTGTGTAGACTTCCATTGGTAAAGGCGTGTCTTTTTTTCAACCTGACTAACTAAGTAAACTGCTCTTAAATTGACAGTTGCCGTCTGTCGGTTTCTAGTTTTGTTTTTTGGGGTTTTTTTTTTAAGGTTATAGTACATTTTTATTTATTTTTTGTTTATAATCTTTTACATTGTTTAATGTGTTGTATGTATGGAATCTTTTAAAAATGAAAAACAGAGAATAAAAGATTCCCAGAGCAACATGAGTTATCCAAAGAGACATTGAAGCATTTCATTTCCAAAGTTCCGGGTT